CCCCAAAACCCCCAAAACCCCAAAACCCCATCCAACAATTAAATTTACTAATGATAGAAATTAAATACAAATTAAGATCAAAGTACAAATAAAATGTAGAAAGTTGAGAAAAGCATCAAAATGAAGAATATCTTAAGTATCAGTTTTCTGGTGCTTTTGGTGTCTTCATACACATCTCTCAACTCTTTCCTAGCTCCCTCAAGATCATACAAAGCTTATTCAGTGTTTTAGTCGATTCTATCTACAAGAACTTGTTGTTCTTAAACTATATTTGCAAATCTTTTGAACAGTGTGGAGATATCATATAGAGTCTTCTCAATAGTTTATATGCTTGTTGCTCTATGCTGCAATGAATTATCTTGACCCATCATTATTAAAGTATCTCCACTATTACTTTACATGCTTGATGAGGCAGTTGAGGAATATCTATCTTCTCCTTAGTAATGATGAGGCAAGATCTTCATTTTAGATGCCCCACCACTATAACCACCTCTGCTTTTTATTCCTTTTCCTATTAATTTCTCTTTTTTTGCTTCCTGCTTTTTAATGACTTGCTAATGATCTGTTAGAAATTGTTTGAATGTAAGTGTAGCTTTCATAGTTCTACTGTTAAGAATATCTAGACAGATCTAAGTTGCTTTCTACTACTGCATATTTTAATGACTTTTCATGTCTATTTGCTTCTTTATTTCTTCATTTTCAACTTAAACTTCAGTTAATGACTACAAAAGATCAATTAATATGTATTTTACATCTTTTATTTAAACGTTCATGTGTTGAATCTGATCATGAGTCGATGCAAATATTGATGTGTCTTGAGATACTAAAATTTATTAACTTATTTGACTATACATTAGCCAAGTCGTGTTTGATTGCTCTGAATTTCTCTCAATTTTTCCTCATTTAGCGTTATTTGCAGCAGCAAGCTCCTTTCAAATTATGCTTATTTCTATTATACATAATTTCTTGCTTGACCATTACATCCTGCATTGTATTTTGAAACACTATTGAAGAAACTTGCAGTTTTATCAATAGGTTTGTGAGTGATTAGCTTCTACTTTTGATCTGAATGTTTTTCCGAATTGTACATTTTATAAAAAATTATTAATTCATTCTAATATTTAAATCAAATATTAATAATCGGGGTTTTGGGGTTTTGGGGTTTTGGGG